TCTTCTGGAAACACAGGGAGAGACACCTGTTTTGTACGCGGACAATCAAAGTGCCATAAAATTGGTGAAGAATCCAGAATTCCATAAACGAACTAAACATATAGATGTTCGTTATCATTATATTCGTGAGAAGTTCAATGAAGGGATGTTTTCACTGGAGTATGTGACCAGCAAAGAGCAGTTAGCTGACATCTTGACCAAGCCAACACCACGAACAAGATTTCAAGAACTCAGAGAAATGTTAGGAATTAGATATATAGATTTATAATTTTTTAATTAACTATGTACGGGTGTATTGTTTAAGGGTAATTGTTGATATTATTAAACAACACACTGGGTACAGTAATATTATTTAAGATAACAGTTTAATGTATTTTTACTTATGTTAGTATAGTACAAGGTCAAAGGGACACATTCCTTTTACGATTATGTTGTTTTACTCAATGCAGCCTATTGTATACATGTTTACAGTTTAGTCGTAGTTTCACCGTCTATCGAGTAAAGTGACCCGTTGCCGTTGTACATCTCTTATATTATATGTTTTGACATTTTATATTAAATACTATTATATTACGAATAATTTCTAAATCTTTTAATTACATAACCTATTCCATTCAACAGGTTATGGGCCCAGTACCCAGTACTTAATATTTAGATTTTTTTATTTGTAATATAATTAATCGTGAAATTTAAAAGTGCGTTCGCGTAGTAAGTGCGTCGATCGTGTTAAATATTATTGTAATTTTTTATTGTGTGCAGACAGTGTACAGGAAATTCGTTATCATGGAAAACGAATCTATAAAAATTAACAAACTAAACGGCAGTGAAAATTGGGCAAAATGGAAATTTCAAATGACGGTAATATTAAAATCATATGATGTGTTGTTCTCTGTAATAGATGGAAGTTATGAATATCCAATTCAAATTATAAAACATGATACAGAAACAGACACAGAGGCACAATTGCGTTTAGAACAAGTGCAGCAAAAATGGTTAATGACAGATGCTAAGGCTCAACGTTTTATAGTTATGTCAGTAGATGAGCAGTCATTAGATTATATAATGAACTGTGACACAGCGAAAGGTATGTGGAATAAATTACTGAGTGTATATGAACAAAAGTCTGATACATCAATTACATTGATTCAGCAAAAATTTTATAGTTATGTTATGGATAAAAATGATAATATGGCACAACATATATCAAAATTAGAAAACTTGAGTAAACAATTAAAACAGTTAGGTGAACCAATATCCGATTCAATGCTTATAACCAAAATTCTTATGACCTTGCCAGAAAATTATAAATATTTTTATAGTGCATGGGATTCTATATCATCTGAGAACAAAACATTGTTAAACTTGACATCCCGACTTATGGTAGAGGAAACAAGACAAAGTAATGGCCATGAAATCCAGAAAAATAATGGTGAAAATAGTGCATTTGCGGCGAAAAAATTGTTTAGAACGCAAAAACAAAAATATTCAAAATTTGGAAATCAACAAAATAATGATAGAAAACCAGGAATTTGCAATTTTTGTAAGAAACCAGGTCATTGGAAACGTGATTGCTGGATTTTGAAGAAAGAACAAGACGGAAAGAATAAAAACGAATCAAATTCTGGTAATGCACTAATAGGCGTTAATTCAATGGTGAGCAAAATTAGTGATTTTGATAAATGGTATGTGGACTCCGGTGCAAGTGATCACATGACCAGTAGAAGAGAGTGGTTCAGAACTTATGAGTCGTTCAAGATTCAGTTGCCAGTACGTATTGGTGATGGTAAATATATTATGGCTATTGGTAAAGGTAATATATATGTTCAAGCAAAAATTGGCGAAAAATGGGTTGACAGTTATTTGTCAAATGTTTTACATGTACCTGAACTCAAAGTAAATTTGTTTTCATGTGGAGCGTGCCTTGATAAAGGTATAATAATGATAACAGACAAAAATGTTTGTACATTTAAAAGAGGAAATAGTACAGTTGCTGTTGGAATTCGTGAGAATAAATTGTTTTCGATGATTTTTAAAACAAGGATTTCGCAAGAGATAGATCAAGTGAATATTGCTGAAAAAATTCTTACATTACAACAGTGGCATGAAAAACTAGGTCATCAGAATGTTCAATATGTTAGAAATTACCTAAGGCATATGGGTATTCAATTCACAGATATGGAAAACAAATTTTTCTGTGAAGCTTGCATTTATGGTAAACAACACAGAGAACCATTTACACTGAGCAGTACCAAAACAACAAAACCAGGTCAGATAATTCACAGTGATGTTTGTGGACCCATGGAAGAAAATTCTCTTGGTGGTAAAAGATACTTTGTTATATTCAAAGATGATTACTCTAAGTATACATATATATATTTTATGAAACAAAAATCAGAAGTAAAAGAGAAGTTTGAATTATTCTTAAATACAGTGAAAAATCAGTTAAATATATCAGTTCTTACTTTACGAAGTGATTGTGGCTTGGAATATAAGAATGATGAAGTCAAAGCTATTTTGAATAAATTTGGTATAAAACATGAAACCAGTGTACCATATACACCACAGCAAAATGGTAAAGCAGAACGAACAATGCGTACAATAGTAGAAGCAGCTAGAACTATGTTATACAGTAAAAATTTGTCAAAAAATCTTTGGGCTGAAGCGGTAAATACAGCTGTATATGTATTGAATCGTACGTTAAATTCAGGTAACAAAGAAAAAACGCCCTATGAATTATGGTATAATAAAAGTCCCAATATAAGCAATTTTAAAGTATTTGGTAGTGAAGTTTATGTTCATATACCAAAAGAAAAACGTAGAAAATGGGATCAAAAAGGGAGAAAAGGAATATTTGTTGGGTATTCAGAAGAAACTAAAGGATACCGCATATGCTTTGATGGAAAAGAAGTTTCATTAAGCAGAGATGTTATATTCAAAGAATCTATGGAAATAGAAATCAAAATTAGAAAAGAAGATGAAGAAATAAATTCAGAAATGGTGGTTGAAAGTGAAGAAAATAACATTAATGATGAGAATAATGTTGAAAGAAAACAAAATATGGATGAACTTGATCAATCAGCAGATCAGACTCATGAGCAATTAAAAATGAGACTTAGAGATAGACAAAATATAGAAAAACCAGTAAGGTATAGAACAGAAACATTTTATTCAATGTGTGATAATCCAGTTACATATGAAGAAGCTATGACACAAGAAAATTCAGAAGATTGGAAAGAAGCAATGGATGAAGAAATGTTGTCATTAAAAAAGAATGAAACCTGGAAATTAGTAAATATACCAACAAATAAAAAAGTACTTAACAATCTCTCCAAAACGCGTTGACAGTATAAGGACTGATGTATAAATATTGACCCATCTGATCTCTGATCAATTTGAATACCCAGAAAATGATTAAGTTCACCTGATTTTGTCTCAAAGTTGCTCATCAGGTACTTCACCATCATGTCCACCTGCTCATCATTTGTTGCTGCTATAATCCCATCATCTACAAAAATAGCTACAATCATTAATTGTTCATTTTTATTACTTACAAATACACAGGGATCTGCCTTTGTTTCTTTTAGATCAAATTTTAACAACAAATTTTTAAATTTTGTATTCCAGCACCTGGGTGCTTGTTTTAATCCATACAAGCTTCGTTGAAGTTTGCAAACTTGTTTAGTTCCATCTTCATAACCTTTTGGCTGGTTCATGTAAATCTCTTCTTCAAGATCACCATATAAAAAGGCTGTTTTAATATCAAATTGTCTGAGTTTTAATTTTCTGGCTGCTGCTATTGCTAGCAGTACTCGTATAGAGTCATACTTTACAACTGGACTAAAAGTTTCTTGAAAATCAATTCCATGCACTTGTGCATAGCCTTTTATAACTAGTCTGGCTTTAAATCTATCGACTTCTCCATTTTTCTTGAGTTTGGTTCGATATACCCAGCCATTGTTAATTATCTTCATTGTGAAAACAGACATCAAAGTTAATAAAAAAAAAATACGATTTTTGTAAAAAAATTATTTTTTATATTCTTAACTTTATAATGCTATAACTTTTTGAATAATGTACGGATCAATATAATTCTTTTTTTGATGGATGTTTTTAACTATCATTTGGCATATTTATTTTATAAATCTGACCCTTTACCTACCTACAGGGTGGGATTCAAAATGACAACTATTTAACAAAAAATTTACTTTTTCAACTTAACTTTTGAAAGTGTTCCGGAAAGTCTGGCAGTTTTATATATATCTCAAATTAAAGCTAATGTAATATACTTTATTATAGAAAAAAAAAAATTGGGACTTATTTTATCTTCATTGTGAAAACAAAAATTGAAGTTTATAAAAAAAATACGATTTTTATAAAAATATTATTTTTTATATTTTTAACTTTATAATATTATAACTTATTGAAAAATGTATGGATTAACATATTTTTTTATGGGAAATAATATTTTTCAATAATCCCTTTTTCATTTGACATACTTTATCTTAATCAGGGTATTAATAAGGAACCAGCTAATCATGTAGCTTTTGGAATGATCCATCAATTTTTTAAAATTAAACAATATCTAAAGATTTGCATCGAAGCGTTGTTTTTTGATAGAGATATTAATCACTGTCAGATATAATTATACTTAATATCCAACTATGTTACGTCAACATTGTGCCAGGACCCCCCTGTGCTGCGTTTTTTTAAAATAAAACCATTTCACTTTATATATTATAAATATATTACACTTATAAATAATAAAACTTGTAATCGAAATACAATTATTTTTTTTTAAGTATAATTTTCTAAACAAAATGTAGCCAACAATTCGAATTATTTTTCTTTTTATCTAGGATCAACTGTTCAAATATATAGCTATCATAAGTTCTCGTCTTTTGACGTTTGTATGTAGTTAGAAGTGACGTAAGTATCACATAATTAAATATATATTTATATTATTTGTGTATATGTTATTACTTTATAGTCAAGTGCTTTTAATCATTTACCAAACGAAACGAAATTTATACAGTTAATAAAATTAATATTATTGTAAAATATTTTAATAATATGAATTCAAAAATTGTTGTAATAATTTTTTTAAGTCTTTGTTTTGTACCTAATTTTTCCGAATCCAGCAGCTCCAGAGATAATATTATGAATCCAACTATTCCGGTAATAATCATTATTTTTTAAATAATACAACGTATTATGTAATATGAAACTACAATTTCATAAAAATTAATAAATTAAAAAATTTTTGTAATACAATGTAATTAATTGTTCGTGTAATCATTCATTCATAAATGCCAATGTCAATATGAGTTTAATGTTGATAATGATAACATTGTTTCCGAAATACCTATCTGCAACTTTTCAGTAATTTTTTGTGGCTTTTGAGTTTAATATTTTTAGTTTTTAAATTAGAAATATTTTAATATAGTTTTGATTTTATTTAATTAACAAATGATTGATTTTTATTATAAAATTATGTTTTATTAACATAATTAACAATATTTATATTAACTCCAATACAAAGCTGAGAATATTTTGATTTTACCATGATGCTTTTGTTATATTTTCCGCTATTTTTAACACGCTTATATTAGTTTCACATGTATGTTTGTATGTTGTAAGTTTGTAACTCCACGCGGCACGTGTTATTATGTCGCGTATGCCGTCGTCTATGACCTTGAGACTAGACCGTCGTAACGCATTCACTCCACCCCGCTCACCAGTCGGCGCTTACACTATTTTTTTCTGTATAATTTTGAGTATTTGACTGACCAACACCGCGCGTTATACGCCGCGGTGCAAAGTCCAGCAAGTGCCGCACGGCCGACGACGTCCCGCCGCTAATGATACCGTAATCTTCTTCTCATTGTCAAAGTGACAACGTCAACAAACCAATCCGCACTCGCGCACCGTCGTCATCTACGCTGCTAACCTTTTAACGCCCGAGGATCACGCCGGACATCGCGTCGTCGACGCCAGCGAAAGTGCCGAGATATTATGCGAAGATTATATATTCTTACCATCGCCGCTAATATTTATTTATATATACATATATATATTAATATTTATATATACGTATATGATAATATTCATTTATATATTCCTACAGCCGACGCCGCTGCCGCCGTATGTACCTCGTGTATAACGTTCCCCCCGTCACACCCGCCCACAAAACACGGCTATACCTCGTGCATGATACGTTTACGTACTTAAGTAGCTTTACATGTATATATATATATTTTAATTACTATTAAAACTTATATATTAATACGCTATATTCTCATTAAGAGATATATAGTGTATTCATTCCGATTACGGGGGATGATTGCCGTATTGTCATTTTTCGTCACTACCTCCACGTTGCGCGCTTGCTGCTTTCCTTGGATGTGGTAGCCGTTTCTTAAACTCCCACTCCGGAATCGAACTCTGATTCCCCTTTACCCGTTACAACCATGATATTGATAGTAACTACTATCATAACATGTAACTAAAAAGTGAAAAATAAATATAGTTTAAAAAAACTAAAAAACATGCTTTTAAATCACATCGAACTAAAAAGTTAAAAATAATTTTTATAATAAGCTTACAACAATAATGTACGAAAAGTACTAGTATTATTGTGATAAAAGCGTGGGTGCTTTGTGCCATATTTTTCGTATATTGAGCGCCCGACGCTTTTATCACAATAATACTAATACTTTTCGTACATTATTGTTGTAAGCTTATTATAAAAATTATTTTTAACTTTTTAGTTCGATGTGATTTAAAAGCATGTTTTTTAGTTTTTTTAAACTATATTTATTTTTTAATTTTTAATAGAAAAAAAAGCCCATAAAAATTATGATAAATAAAATCTACTAATTTCAATATTTTTTTCCTTGTGGATCTTTATATTAATTATTTTTTTTAAAACTAAAGAACACCATAAAATATTTGTTAAACATACTTGCTTTTTTTTTGTGAGTGAAAAATGTTACAAGAACAAAACATGCGTAAAGGAAAGAAAATATATTCTACTTTTTCGAAATGTTGTTATCACAGGGATGAAGGTAGATAATATAGTATCAACGGTACATTAGTGAAAACGTTAAGTGTTTGTATTCATTACATATATACATAAAAGAAATTTAAAATAATCAATAACTATATAATGTAAAATCTCTTCAGTCTTTAAATCTTATTAGTAATCGCAAGGCTCGTCCAAATCTAGTAATTTTTTGATGATTCTTTTTTTCAGATAATTCTTTCCTTAATTGGTCCTTTAGAGGAAATATTTATAACTGAGGGGTTTGTTGTTGAGTAATTGGTTGCTGGGTTGGAGCATCGATGTAAGCTGGTTTTAGTCTGTCGATGGAAACTTTCTTTTCCCCTCTTCTTAACTGTGATGAGAAAGTTTTTTCTGCCCTTTCTATTACTTTGAAATGTCCTTCGAAAGGTTTTTTAAGAGATTTTTTTACATCATTTTTTCCGTAGAAAATAAAGGGACAACCCTTTGGCTAATAACGATCCAACTTTCGAATTATTTCAATTAAGCCGCGTTTATGTTTTCTTTTTTAATTTATCCTGTTTCTATGTCTGTATAATTTTTCTTTTGTTATTTGTTTCTCACTAGATTTTATTCTAATGATGTTTATGATGTCTATTATATATTTTTGGTCTTTTCCTGTATAAAATGTTATAAATAAATAAATATTTATATTTTGGAAACGTTGACTGAGTGTTGGAAAAATTGCTGGAGCTCTTATAACAAGTCTTTTAATTTTTTACTGTTAGAATGGTATACATGTTTTGATCCACAATAAAGTATCTTTATTTACGTTTGGTCAAATAAATTCACTTTTAATTAAGTGTGTAGTTGCTTTGACTCCAGGGTAGGATAGTCCATGAATAATGTTAAAATGAATAATGTAAAACATTTGTCTACGATGAGTCACTGAATTGTATGGTCGGATTGCAACAGTTGATATATCATATTTCAAGAAGAATTTGATTCAGGAAAAGTTATTTTGCTTAGTTTCATAATAGTGTTCTTCTTAAGAAAATTTTTTAGTTCAGAATTTTCTTCCTGTGCTTTTATAATTTCTTCAAAATTAATTTTTTTTACATTTATTTGTCCAATTCTAGAAAGGAAATCAGCAGTGATATTTTCTTTTCCATAAATATGTCAGTAGTAAATTGTGCAATGAAATCTAAATACTCAAATTGTCTAGGTAAACATTTGTCTAACTTTTGGTTAAATGTATACACTATAGGTTTGAGATCAGTCCATATTGTAAATGGCCTAGCTTTCAACATATGTTTGAAATTCTTAACTGATATGTATATAGCAAACAGCTCTCTATCATAGGTGCTATATTTTTGTTGGGTGCCACTTAGAATTTTTGAGAAAAATGGATTCTAGATTTTATCCTCACCTTGTTCTAAAACTCCTCCAACAGCATAATTTGAAGCATCAACCTTCAAACATAATTTATTTGCACTTTTAGGATGAGCTAATTAGGTGACTTGTGTTATAAATATTTTACAATTTTGGGAAGCATTTTCTTTTTTTCATTCCACTGAATTTCAATTTTGTCATTATTTTTATTCCCTTTTTGGTAATTTAATATTGGTATTTGAAATTTTACAATGTTTGGTAAGAAATGTCTGTAAAATTTGATCATATCTAAAAAATTTTCCTAGTTCTTTAACTATTTTTGGTTTTATTGTAGTCAAAAATAGCTTGAATTTTTTGAGATAGTGTAGTGCCTGAGCTACACATACGGTACCCATTAACTTACTATTTTCTAAATCAATTAATAGCCTAAAATTTTAAGGGCGGCGTAGTACAAGGTATAATTTTATACTTTTTGAACCATATGTACTTATAGGGGAACCAATAGCTGCATATAATTTTAGATTCTGTTGTTTTTCGAATTTAGTGGGTGATATAACTGATACATCAGCATCACTATCTACTAGGTAGCAGATCTTACTACATACATCGGTTATAAATAGGCGGTTTGAAATTGGTGCAAAACTGGCTACCGCCTCAACTGGATAGCTCATTAGTTTTCCGACTTCTTAAGGTTAAATTGCATTTTGCACCATTCACCTTTACATATTCTTGCTCACTTTTTGAACTTAGCATGGTAAAATCAGAGCTGATTTTGGTTTTCTTTATTGTCACGCGATTGTGATTTGTTGGTTCTATAATGATTAGAACGGTTTCGGTTTCGACTGTGACCTCGTCTAATGAGTTCCTGAATTGCTGTAGTAAGTGAAAAAATATATTGTATTAATGTTGATCGTAAAGCATCTTTGTTACATTTACATGGTTTTTCTGGTGTTACAGAAACAACAGAATGAGTATAATTTACTTCACTTATCTTGTGAATCCTGATATTGAATCAGTATTAGATGATAGTATAGCCTGCGTTTGACTGGGTAGACGTTGGTATCATAGATTTTTTAAAATATCCTTAGACACGCGATTACCCACTAGTTGTTGCACTTTGTATAGTAAATAAGATGGTTTTTTATCATCTAACTCTAAGTCGCGAAGTAATTAATTCAGTTTTTTTTCTTCCGATTCAAAAAGGCGTACAATTAATACTTCTTATAATTTTAAATACTTGTTGTTTGATGGCGGTTTCTCGAGAATGTCAGATATATGAGCAAGTGCATCGCCATGTAATGCTCCAACTACGTGATGTAATATTATTTCATTATCGACAATTTGCGAAGTTGTAACTTCGCAATACGAGTTATAAAAACCAATTTTTTGGGTTTTATATCCAAAATTAAGGTACCTTAAATGCAAAAACGTATGCTGTATCACTTTTGAGACCGGAAAATTCGTCAGTCATAATTAAAAATGTTATTTGTAATGTCAAAAACGTAATAAAAAACAAAGGTTTCGTCGATGTTATTTTTATTAAAACTAAAGAACACCACAAAATTTTGTTAAATATATTTGCTTTTATTTTGTAAGTGAAAAAATTAACAAGAACAGTACATGTGCAAAAAAAAGAAAACAGAAACTACTTTTTCTAAATGTTGTAATCGCAGAGATGAAAGTATGTAATATGGTACCAATGATACTTACTTTTAAACATAAACTGATATAACATTTTGAAAAATTTATGAATCATAGCAACAATTATTGCAAAAATACCATGTGCATTCATTTTAGCTTTGATGCGAAGCTGAGAAGGTATTGGTTTTACTAAGATGTGTTTATTTTTTTTTTGTGTCTGTTACCACTTTTTCTCAGCTCTCACCGAACCAATTTCTTTCAATGATACGTCAAAAGATCACAAATTGTATCTAGTCAAAGAAATTACCCTCAAAAATTGAAAAAATGCTCTCGTTCCCCGTAAATGGGGGAAACCTTCAACNTTCCCTCGTTCCCCGTAAATGGGGGAAACCTCCAAAAAAATTACAAATTTAAAAATCGCTAATTTTCGAAATTTTTTCAATTTTTTTTACTTAAAAGTGCCATAACTTTTTCAAAAATAAACATATCAATATAATTCTTTTTTATTTAGATGCGTAATATCATAACCTTTAGTTTGGTATATTTTTTTTATAAATTTAACCCTTACCCTGCCCACAAGGGGGGATTTAAAATGACAACTTTTTCAACTTAATTTTTGAAAATGTTCCGNTTTTTTTAACTTAAATTTTGAAAATGTTCCGGAAGGTCTGACACTTTTATATATATCTTAAATTAAAGCTAATGTAATGTTCTTTATTATGCAAAAAAAAAATTTCTATTAAAATATTTTATATTCATGGTGAAAATGGCTACCGAATGCTATTTTTGTGTGAAAATTTTCGATTTTGTATTTTACATTTTTAACTTTATTATGCTATAACTTTTTGAAAAATGTATGGATCAGTACAATTTATTCATGAGAAGTAGTATTTATATACATCTTTCATTTGACATACTGTTTTTTTAAATTGGACTATTTCCCTTAATACAGGGGGGATTCAAAACATAAAAATGCATATAGAAAGTAGAACTTTTTCAACTTAACTTTTGAAAGTGTTCCGGAAGGTCTGACACTTTTATATATATCTTAAATTAAAGCTAATGTAATTTACTTTATTATGCGAAAAAAAAATTTCGGACTTTATTTTATCTTCAGGGTGAAAATGGCTACCGAATGCTATTTTTGTGTGAACATTTTTTTTTATATTTTTAACTTTATCATGCTTTAACATTTTAAAAAATGTATGGATCAATATAATTTTTTTTTATAGATGCATGATGTCTTTACCTATTATTCTTACCCGATATTTACTAGAATAGCGATGATGATATCTAGGAAAGTGATTTGCAGTTGTTGAAGCATTTGTTTAAATTAGAGGAAATATGTTAATAAAAAGAAAATTATAAAAGCGTATTTATTTCTAAGCAAAGTGTTATATATTTTAACAAATGTAAGTATTTAGACTAATTGAAAGAAGTCAAGCTAAAAGTCAGAAAACATACAAGTATACACTGATATAAACTGTAAAAGAAAAACTAAGGTGATAACTTGACAGATGAAAAGAAGTGAGTGAGTCAGGAGCTATGGTCCTTAGCCCTATTATAATAAAAAATTGAAAAAAATTCCTTCGTTTCCCACAAATGAGGGAAAACTTCAAAAAAATTACAAATTTAAAAATTGCTAATTTTCAAAATTTTTTCAATTTTTTTACTTAAAAGTGCCATAAATTTTTCAAAAATGACCAAATCAATATGATTTTTTTTTTATAGATGTTTGATGTTTTTACCTATCATTTGGTATATTTTTTTTATAAATCTGACTTTTTACCTGCCTATAGGGGGGGATTCAAAACGACAACTTTTTCACAAAATGTTTACTTTTTCAACTTAATTTTTTGAAGTGTTCCGGAAAGTCTGACACTTTTATATATATCTTAAATTAAAGATGATGTAATGTAATTTATTATGCAAAAAAATGTTCGGACTTTATAAAAGTTATTAGTAAAAATAGCTACCAAATGCTATTATTGTGTGAAAATTCTCGATTTTATTTTTTACATTTTTAACTTTATCAACATAATTTTTTTATGATAAATAATAATTTTTAATAATCCCTTTTTCATTCGACATACTTTATCTGAATCAGAATATTAATAACAAACTAGCAGATCATGTTGCTTTTGGTATAATCCACCAATTTTTTAAAATTAAACACTCTCTAAAAATTTGCACCGAAGCGTTTTTTTTGATAGTGATTTTAATCACTGTCAGATATCATAATACTTGATCCAACTATGCCACGTCACCACTGTGCCGCGATCCCCCTGTGCTGGGTTTTTTTTTAAATATTTGCATACAAAGCGATTTATAAGACAAAATTTTTAATAATGTTTTGGAAATTATGCGTACTTAAAACTTTTTTTTAAATAAAGCCCATATTGTACTATACTATCATATTAAAATGATTTTTGCTTTATAAATATTTTTTTCAGAATATATCTGAGATAGAAGAAATAGAAGAACATAGCAGCTATGTAGACAATATTAAAAACACAAATTATTCGGTATTTTTTACTTATTAAATTATACGTTTTATTACGTAAGGTGTTAAAGCAATTTTGTAGAAAATAATAAATTTAAAAATTATTTTATTATAAGTACTATGCACTAAGTCTTTGTTTTGCATCTAATTTTTCTGAATCCAGTAGCTTTAGAGAAAATATTATAAACATAAATTATCCGACAATAAATAAATAAATAAATAAACATGGACTGGTATATGATTTAAGTGTTATTTATGTCCATCTACATTTGGATCGAAATAGGAACTTTCACATCATGTTAAGACAATTTACCGAGAGTATTATAATTATGATTAAATTTATAGTAATATTAAAATAGAAAATATATTGGTAGAATGTTAATAAAAGTGTATTACTTTAGATCTTATAAAGTATTGTGTGGACTATAATATTGCTATAGGAAATCATGCTGATTCCATGCTATGTCATCGAGTGGTAAGTAAAGAAAATATATTATTAAAAATTTATATGCTAAAATAAATGTATGAGTATTTTTTTTAGAAAATGTAAATGTTGCAGAGAGAATGCAGGCGGGCCCTAGTGTAATTAGTCCTAAACGTCGCAAACAATATAACACTGACAATACGATTAAATGTAAACGGGTAAAGGTGAAACGATAACATGACATTGCGACGAAAGGTTTTCATAAAACGGGTGAATCATTAAATAGTCAAATTTTATGGTTTTACAAAAAGAATGTTGATAATATAGCCGGGTATCAATCGTTTTAGTCCCCAACAAGAGACGATTTAGTTGAAAAATTATGCGACTGTCTTAATGAAATGGGGCCGATAAAATTCAACCTTAAACTCGAGGCGACTTATAAGGTTCTGAATAATGAAACCAAGTACGAAAATTGGTCATTTAATACGTCGGCAGTCGAGATACTTAACGAGGACAATATCGATCATGCTGTGAATATGTCATATACAAAATTATTAGAAGAACTAGAAAAATATGCTGGTAAAAGTTGTAATTTCTCGTTTTCTAATATAGACAGTATTTTACTGGGAGTGCAAATATCAGCCTTTGGGTGGTTCTTTTTATATTGATTTGCCGCATGACATTAAAATAAGAAGTGCTGTAATTTAACCACAATATATAGATCAACAATGTTTCAAATAGGCTGTATTACCAAGAAAAGTGACTGGTGATAACAAATATATAGTCAGTCATAACTACAAGTCATAAGAAAACTCTTATGATTTTTCCGGTTTATTATTACCAACACCAATTGCAGACATAAACATTTTCGAAAAAAATAATACGTATACTTCAGTTAATGTTCACGGATTGAAATTGAAATATTCACATAATAAACACGAATATTTAGTTTATCCGCTGAATAACGTAAAGATCATATCGATTTGCTAATTGTGTCAAACGCCTCGGGTGACAGTCATTACGCTTATATCACTGATTTTGAAAGCCTGTTGATCAAATCCAACAAAGATACGAAAGACAACACAAATTATATGCATAATCATGTTGCAATGAGCTATGGATACATAATAAAAACGGTCGACAGTATACCCATAGAATTATTGAAACAGTTTAATATTCAAAGGACGCCTCAAATATATAGAGGTAATAAAAGCAGTAAGGAAGTAATCAATCGTTTTATGGATGATGTAACTTAAGTGGCGTTGAAAATTGAAAAGTTGCTCAAGACGAATGTTGATATTTGTATGAACATGAAAAAACTGAAGAACACATAGAGTAAACTTGCTGTAACTTGTGTAAAGGTGGTTTACAGAGAAAAATTATAAAGTAGCAGACAATGATCATTTGACAGGTAAATCATACACATACCTATATTAAATGTGTAGTAATTAATATAAAAAAAATGTATATATTTATTTATATTCGTTTCAGATAGTTTAAGAAAAACGCTTTGTAACAATTGCAATTTAAAATTAACAACGCCCAAATTTGTTAACGTATAATTTCATAATCTTAGCTCGTACGACGGACACTTTTTAGATAAAGCTCTTGGAAGAGATACTAATAGAATCAGTGTAATACTTACTACTGAAGAAAAATATATTTCTTTTTTAACGTTTGTTTCAAACAAATTTTCGCTAAGTTTCGTTGATACATTTCGTTTTATGGTTACTAGTTTAGCGTCTCTCGCTGAAAATTTGCGCGCCGCTGACATAAAATTATTCGGAGAAACCGCAAATACGTTTTCAGTGGACGGTGACATTGATTTGGTGACTCATAAAGGCGTGTACCCGTATTCATACACCTCCAGTTAGGATGTACTCGAAGAAAAACAATTACCGTCAAAAGCCGATTTGGAAATTTCGTTTAATATTTTGCTTGGCCTCGACTGATTGTCTTAATATTTCGTTATTATACGATATTATATAATTGCAAAAGTATCGAAACATTTACGATACCTGCCTTCATTTTGCGGATTGTTTTTGTTAAATACTACAAAACTAAATTTACCATCATTTCAACATGAATGGCAAAAGTCACGAAACTGGTTAAGTGTTGTGTGTCCCTTGAAAAACTATAAAAATATATATAACATATATTGGTTTCGTCTTTGTTTGAACGCAGCGCCCGGTGGAATTTACGCGAGTTTGCTAACGTTCGTGATTTTGTTTTGTCTTAAATTTTTAGCCATGTCGAGGATAAATAATAAGGTGAGTGGACTGTATGTTTGAATGTAATTCACAAGATATAATTATAAACAATTAAATGTATTATATAAAAAATATAAAGTCTTATATACACAATGTGGATAGGGGGACACTTAATACTAATGCCGCTAAGGCGATGATATAAACAAATAATAAATTATATAAATGAGTCTTAGAAAGATAAATGAACAAGCACTTATCTGCTAAAAGCAACGGCTGATGATAATGTTGAATATTAAAAGAATCAATTGAAGTCGAATGCAAGTAACTGACCAAAGTATACAATATGCTGTCAACGGTATTGTGATGTATCACAGAAAATATATAGACCCAACGGTGATCAACTGAGCGCACAGGTACGACAATCGCAAAGGTGATATTTTCTTTTTACCATAATAACGAATACAAAACTACTAGCTCGCAAATTCCATAGAGCTTATAGCAGAAGAAGCGTTAAGATGGCGGCAACAATGGTAACATAGAGAGAAAACCGACAACAACTCGATGTAACACAACGATAACATGAATAATCAAAAACACATTTTCTTGCACAGGATATTCGATCCAACATACTCCCGGCGTTAGAAGATGAATTCTTCCAAAATTGACAAGAAAGAAAATAATAATAATAATAATAATGAAAAATGAAATGGAAATGGAAAGTCTAAAGTAGAGTAAATATACAAGGTTACTCTGCAATCCGCGGTAGAAACAAAACATAAGAAACATTAAAGGCATAAGGAAATAATAGGAGCAATGATGTTAATTGTCAACAGGCAGTTTGGTAATTTTGACGATGGGCCTTTTAAATTCGCCGTCACTCGTGCACCGTAACTATACGTACGACGTTCTCGGAACCGGGGTGTAATGAGACTACACATCCCATACGCCAATCCGTCAGTGGTCTGTTTGGAGCTCCTACAGTAACCAAGTCGTTGACTTTGATGTTGGGTTCCTTGATGTTCCATTTTTGACGTCTTTGCAGTGGTCGTTAAAATTCACGGGTTCACCTCTTCCAAAATGACTGGTGGAGTTGGTGTAATAATTGTCAACGAGTGAGCCGATTGATGGGTATATGATTGAAATCATTCTCAGTAAAACTAACGGCTGGCCGATTAGGAAATGGACCGGTGTAAGAGCTTCCAAATCATGTGGATCTGTTGACGCTGGCGTAAGTGGCCTTGAATTCAATATACCCTCAATGCGTACTCTAAGCGTGTTGTATTCTTCAACCGTAAGAATTTACATACCAATAACTCGTTTAAGATGTAATTTAATGCTTTTAATAGCAACCTCCCATAAACCTCCCATGTGTGGTGCGGCGGGTGCATTAAATTGCCAATTGCACGGTCCACGTGATGTTAATTGTTGTCGTACTGCAGGATCGTCAAATAATGATTTTATCTGCCCCTGTATAATTTTTACCACAGTCCGAATATATGTTATTCATTAGACCGCGTTGCGCGACGAACGTGTGGTAATATGTGTAAATCAGTGATTGAAGAGTTCATCTTCCGTTGTAGGAATTAGCGGGGTAGACGGTTCTTCTATTGTCCAAAATTGACGCAACAAACTCTCAACAGACGGGCTAAGAGTCACGGCAAGTGACGTCAATGTTTAAGACGAAGTGTCAGTGAGCGAGACTGTACCTACTAATATCCATCCTAGGTAGGTGTCAAGCACAGAGGGTAGACTTTTCATATGTATGATCTCCGCCTTTGGACGTACAGTATGTGGAAAGACATCTCCGTCCAACAACATATCAATAGTACCGGGTGTGTCGAAGTGGGGATTGGCGAACAAAAAGTCATGATATTGCACACGTACTTTCGGTGATAAATGCGTGGTCGGCATGAGATGTGTTATGTTTGATAAAACTATCTAGTCATTACAAGTAAAGACTGCTTCTAATGCATAGTGTGGTATCGTTTATACCACACTATGTATTTAGAACTGCCCTTTATTTGGTTTACACGGTTTTGCGCCAAGCCGACTATCTCGGAGAGACATTTACGACGCGGTAAGCCAAGACGTGATAAACAATTTGACGTAATCGCTGATATTTGGGACCCACTGTCCATTAACACACGCACACACTGATAAGAGCCGGTGTTATCGCGAACTCATACGATAGCAGTACCCAATACTAGAGTACTTTGTGCATATAAAGTACCTGAAAATTTCGGCGGCGTATCACCTGTTTGATCAACAGTTGACGAAGTAAATGGTGGAGGTTGATCCATGTGCAAAATAGTATGGTGTTTTTTCTCGCATTTCTTACACGCCGAGTTAAAGCGCATGGCGATGCAACATGACCCAGTTTATGACAAGAAAAACATAATTTGTGCGTAGAAACATGATCACGCCATTTCTAAACAGAAATTTATTGAAAGGTATAGCACCGATAAAGGGGGTGTGCACCTTTTTGACAATAAGAACACTGAATTTTATTTTGAACAGTAGGCTCTAGATTATTAGACGCGACTGTGGTTATTGAATGTTTTGGCGACTGCGAATTTTTCTGTACTGAACGCGACGCGGCTAAATTAGAACCTTTAAGATTTTCCAAAATTTTACAACGTTGCTGAACAAACTTCAACAAGTCATTAATAGTAGGAATAATTGATTGCGATATACTGTTTTCAAATAGGTGTCTTGTTGTGTTATCCAGTACACGGGAAGCAATATAAAAAACCAAAAAACTAGATAGGTCATCTCCCCTTAAAATTTTGATTGTCTCAATATTTTCTTTGAAGACATTCAAAAAAAGTTGTAAAAATGAAAGTAATTCACTATTAATAAGCCGAAATGCAAAGATTTTGTCCAAGTGTGCTGTTACTAACTCTCTTTTGTTTTCATACCTATAAGTAAGTGCGCTCCACGCTGTATCATAATTGGCTTCCGTATATGGTATAAATTTTATGACAGCGAGCACGGAGCTGGACAAACACGAAATGAGGAAATGGAGTCGCCTAATTTTATTAGAATCGACATTCACAATAGATTCAAATATATCACGGAAAGTAGTCCAGTTCGTGATACTACCATCAAATCTTAAATTCATATTCGCATACATGTTGTTATATAACGAATGAAAATGGCTGGGCACAGCAAAAGCTGGTTGCAATGTGTTCACGTTTTGAACTAACGACACAGCAGCACTAATATCATAAAACATGTTTTGCATTTTGAATCGATACTATCAAACTCTTCGACGCAATTGAGTTCTATTAACGCGTTTACAATAGCCTGTTGATGTTCGCGAAACTGATTTTCGAGAACACTTAATTGACGAACTCGAACTTCAAACTGTTCTTTAATATATGCCATATTAAAATATGGCACATATTGGTTTCGACTTGTTTGAACAGAATAAGTGTATTAGTGTAATCCCGCATCAATTGTTTACCTACATAGCTAAACTATTGTGTTAAATAAAATATGTCATTGTTATTATGTCTACTTTGAGTAAAATAGGTTCTTATAATTTCTTGAGATTCGGTTATTACGTCATCGAATATAAAAACTGAATTTGGTAATTCGTCCTCAGAGCTAATTACAGTGTCGTTTTCATGTCATTTTTGAATTTTAAACCGTTTTCTGTGTCTAATAAATAAAATAAAACATTAGTTTTACTGCAGCCCGAGGATCCCGCAATAATTGCTCTAATAGAGTTTAAAAATAAAGTACCGTATAAAGTACTATACAAATGCCACGACAACGGATTTTTTTTTTCTCTCAGCTATGCTACCGAGGCGACAAGTCGTCTGTCTGTATATAGTTTTTTATTTTGAAAACCACGTTTTTTTGTATTTTTTTGTTCTCTGTTTTTTTTTTATTAAAATAAACGTCGAGAGGCGCGAACTATGGCCGGTGGTGGGCCGTCACTCCTCAAGATCAACAACGACAAGTATCAACATGAAACCCCCTTTTACCCCCTTTTTAATTTTGTGTAACTAGCACCGCTCTTTTTCTAATTTTTTTATTTTTTTTCCTTTATGAATATATATATTAAAAATCTTCAATAATTAAATAATTAAAAAATGTTATTATATTATACATGGCCTTTTTTTTTCTCTCTCTATACTTTTCCCTCATTTTTATTAATATTTGTTTTTTTTTTTTTATCAAAACCTAGTAGCTCCGTCAACAAGTACTATCTTGCTTGAAGCGGCTACTAGGTCACTGTCCAGTGTTCCCCCTGGGCAGTGGGTAAATAGTAGGCCCTCTGTTTTGGTTGAAACCTTAAAAAGTGAAGTGAAAAAACCTGATGGTATGGAGTCCAGTCCTAGATTTAATAACAATGAACTCGCATATTTATTTTCTGAAATAATGTTATAAAATAAACGGTACTCAAATACAAAAAGTACACAACCTGGGTGTTACATCTATACCGCTTTCGCATATACTATGGTTTGCCGAAGATGATAAAAATATACACTTAAACTCTACCCAATCATTAATATGAGGAGTTCTTCAGACATTAACGTCGTAATCAAATTGTTCGATACGAACGAGTTTTCTGAAGAACTTAAATACAGTACGGGAACTTCTGGTGATATTGAGGTTGTCAAACTAATAGACACGAGTACCGCAGCAACAGAAAAACTGTTGAAAAACTGAAAAGCATCGATTAAACTAACAAAAGTCGTATGGAATATGCCAATTGTCAAAATAGTCATGTTCTCGGGTAAACACTGTTGTATTTAAAAATGTAGGACCATAATTTTTGTCGCATATTTCTTCTTCTTTTTATTAAAATATAATTAATAACAATAAAGATTATGACAATTTATGTTCATTATACTGGCATTAATTTGAAGCGTACCCTCGGACCAAGACTTGATCTATCGATCAACTATTTCATTGATGTTGCGTACACAGTCATATGGTGTCTTTGTTGTGATCACTGGTAAAAATAACTGGACAAGTTCCACGCGATTTGATAAAACGAATCATTATTCATTTAGCAATCAAACGCTCGCTCGAGTATCGCTGATACTGAACAGTATATTATCGTTCCTTTTTTTCTTTTGTGATTTTTTAATAATCATAAAAGATGTATACGCTCACAATTTCACACCTGAGGTCTTTACTGTCAAAGTGCAATTCCACTACGCGATCTTTCTTCAGACGAGGTTAACTTCATTCCACGCAGATGAACGAATTCTGCATTGTCAACTGTAATTCACAAACTAGCCGCAATCCATAGGTCGCTGTCACCCGTAAACATACAAGTCACATTTGTGGTACATTTTATTTGTAATAAAATGGAATAGTATTGCATATTTCTTTATCATTCAAACTTATTATAAAATTGATCATTTCATCAATGTTTGAATGTTGAATTTAGGACTTGACCATTTACCGCCGACGTATTGTATGATGCGGCCTATTTGATGACATAATAGTAAACGTGTTTTTATTTTCCTTGCTATTACACTGTCAATAGTAAACTATAAGTCCTAAGTCTATTAATGTTTTCGTTATTTAACAACACTCAGCCATATTATTCATGTAGTAGAGTCTTCTTAAAGTTGATAGTTCTTAATGACACTGCGGCTTTATCAGCGATTTCATGCTCATTTATGCAGAAAAATCAAAAAATTTTATAAGGGGGTTAGCAAATCACAGAACACATATCCCCGTATACTAACTATTCTCTTCATGAATTAATCATTTTTATCTCATAATTACTTATTAATTACAATTTAATAAGTAATTTCTAATAAACTATTCATTTTTTCATAGTGATATGATTCTATGATAATGATAGTGTATGATATCTATCATTCTATCTATCTTCTTCTATGATAGTATACCCCCACATGTAGATTTACTCTTAACCCCCCATACTTGTGATATCTATTGTACTAGATAAAAAAGAGAAGAGAAAACCCTCAAATATACTCATGACCTTTCTGGGAATGAAGACCCATATACCTTTCATCATATACCCTTAACCGTGTACACATTTCGTCATCCTAATGAGAGAAAACGGCTGGGGCCGTTTTAGGGGGTATGGCAATCATACATTCATAAATGAAAAATTATGTAATATTTTGACTCCTATACAAAGTTGAGAATATATTGATTTTATTATAATGCTTTTGTTATGTTTTCCGCTACTTTTTTCAACTTCTAATAGAAAAATACTCATAAAAAATACAATTAATAAAATCTACTAATATAAATACTTAATTTGGTATAAAGGAATCAAGTAACACCAGTGCATATAAGAAAACCCTATCTTTTCCGGTAATTATAATTTACTTTATTTACTATAACAAAATATTTTTTTAATATAATTTAATAATAATTCTTTAATTAAATTGTTCATGCAATCATACATTAATAAATGACAAATTATGTATTATTTTAATTCGAATACAAAGCTGAGAAAATATTGATTTTACTATGATGCTTTTGTTATGTTAACCGCTACTTTTTTCAACTTCTAATTCAAAAAATTCCATAAGAGTTATGTTTGATAAAATCTGCTAATTCCAATAAGTTTCTACTTTTAAACTTAAATTGGTATAACTTTTTCAAAAATGTTTGNCACTATGATGCTTTTGTTATGTTTTCTGTTTCTTTTTCAACTTCTAATTCAAAAAATTCCATAAGAGTTATGTTTGATAAAATCTGCTAATTCCAATAAGTTTCTACTTTTAAACTTAAATTGGTATAACTTTTTCAAAAATGTTTGTAAAAATACCATATGCTTATATTTTTTTTAAATATTTGCAAACAAAGCGATTTTTTAGACAAAATTTTTAATATTTTGGAAATTATGCGTACTTAAAACTTTTTATAAATTAAATTTTAAATTTTTAGCCCATGATTTGCTATACAATCATATTAGAGTGATTTTTGCTTTATAATTTTTTTTCAGGATCGTTGTTACTTACCAATAATTGAACTATATCCGGTGATTATTATTTATTTTAATTATACGTTGTATTTTTTAAAGTGTAACCTAAATTTCATAGAAACTAATGTATTAAAAAAAAAAATTTTTATACTTACTATGCACCATTTACATAAAATTTCTTTAATATTTTTAATAATAATTCTTTAATTTTTCTAATTTCTCGTTTATGTAATCATACATTCATAAATGACAAATAATATTTTATTTATTTTAACTCCAACGCAAAGTTGAGAATATATTGATTTTACAGTATACTATTTAACTATTTTACTGCTTTTGTTATGTTTTCCGCTATTTTTTCAACTATTAATAGAACAAAAAAAAAACTATAATAATAACACACAAATTAATACCATCTCAATTTCGCGTGAAAGCTAAAAAACCCTAAAAAATTATGAATGGTAACATTTATTAATTTAAACTTGTTTTTATTTTTGAACTTAAATTGCTATAACTTTTTGAAAAATGTATGGATGAATATAAATTTTTTTTTCTAAATACTTCACATATTGAGAAATAAGAGATCTTGTAGCTTTTGGAATAATTGACCAATTTTTTAAATTAAACACTATATACAGATTTGCATCGTAGCGTTTTTTATGATGGTGATTTTAATAACTGTCAGATATCATTATATTTAACCCAACTATGCCACGTCTTCACTGTGCCACGACCCCACTGTGCTGGGTCTTTTTATTTGTAAATACACGTTTTTTACTAATANGTAAAACCAATACCTTCTCAGCTTCGCATCGAAGCTAATATATTTTTGAAGTTTCCAAATATAAATTCAGATAAGCGAAGTTACTCTGTGATGATCAAATAAAGTAACAATAAAGGCTAACCAATGTTACTAAAAATGACTTTTGAACAGATTGTAGAATCATCACATTCTACATACTGCATATACTAATTAGTCAATTAGTTAAAAAACAGTTCGTCTGTGCTAAAAATATAAAAATGTCTATAATAGATGTCCATGTAAATCTGTGTAAAAGTCATTTTCAATAACATTGGTTAGCCTTTGTTGTTACTTTATTAGTTTTGCTATGGTATAGTAAAACTACAGTCATAAGAATAAAATAAATAATAATAATTAACACCACGACCGTCAAAGTTGTATTTATATGCATATGGTTTTTTGCCAAATTTCCTAAATCTATCTCTATTCTTTAATTTATTTTACATACATGTGTAGGTATAAAAATCTCATAAATATGAGTAAAAAAAATTTTTTTGAAAAGTATTTGAAGATATATTACTCATAATGTTAATTTTAATATAATTTACTGTTTTTTACAAGTTTATATATTAATAAAAAAAAACCCAGCACAGGGGGGTCGCGGCACAGTTGTGACGTGGTATAGTTGGATCAAGTATAATGATATCTGACAGTGATTAAAATCACTATCAAAAATAAACGCTTCGATGCAAATCTTTAGATAGTGTTTAATTTTAAAAAAATTGGTGTTTTATTCCAAAAGCTACTTGATCTGCTGGTTCCTTATTAATATCTCGATTAAGATAAAGTATGTCGAATGAAAAAGGGTTTATTAAAAAATATTATTTCTCATAAAAAAATTGTGTGGATCCATAAACTTTTCTATAAGTTATAGCATCATAATGTTAAATGTAATATAAATAATAAAATTGAAAATTTTCACACAAAAATAGTATTTGGTAGCCATTTTTATTGTGAAGACAAAATAAAGTCCAAAATTCTTTTTTTCACATTAAAGTATATTACATTAGCTTTAATTTAAGATATATATAAAAGTGTCAGACCTTCCGGAACATTTTCAAAAGTTATGTTGAAAAAGTAAATTTTTTGTGAAAAAGTTGTCATTTTAAATCCCCCCCTGTGGGCAGGTTAAGTGTCAGATTTACAAAAAAAATATACCAAATGATAAGTAAAGACATCAAGCATCTATATAAAAAAAAATTATATTGATATGTTCATTTTTGAAAAAGTTAGAGCATTATTAAGTTAAAAATATAAAAAAAAATTATTTTACAAAAATCGTAATTTTTTATTAACTTTGATGTCAACTTTCACCACGAAGACAAGTCCAGAGGTCAAATTTTTTTTTTTCAAATTAAAGTATATTACATTAGCTTTAATTTAAGATATATATAAAAGTGTCAGACCTTCCGGAACATTTTCAAAAGTTAAGTTGAAAAAGTTAATTTTTTGTGAAAAAGTTGTCATTTTAAATCCCCCCCTGTGGGCAGGTTAAGTGTCAGATTTACAAAAAAAATATACCAAATAATAAGTAAAGACATCAAGCATCTATATAAAAAAAAATTATATTGATATGTTCATTTTTGAACAAGTTAGAGCATTATTAAGTTAAAAATATTTAAAAAAATTATTTTACCAAAATCGTGTTTTTTTATTAACTTTGATGTCAACTTTCACCACGAAGACAAGTCCAGAGGTCAAATTTTTTTTTTTTATATATATAAAAGTGTCAGTTTTCCGGAACATTTTTAAAAGTTATGTTGAAAAAATTCTACTTTTTATTTCAAAA